CCCAACAGAATCTTAAGGAAAAAAAAGCTACTAGAACTGATAAGTAAGTTTAACAAGACTGCAGGATACCAGACCAATATACAAAAAAGAGTGTATTTTTATACACTAGCAATGATCAATAAAAACAATTAGAAATTGAAATTTAAAAATCAATACTACTTACAATAGCATCAAAAATATTAAATACTTAGGGATAAACCTAAAGATGGGAAATACCTGTTCATTGAAAATTACAAAATATTGCTAAGAGAAATTAAAGAATATTTAAATAAATGAGAGATACACTTTGCTCATGGGTTAGAAGACTCAATTTTTCTAACATGTTAATTTTCCCCAATTTGAGCTATAGATTCGTGGGAGTTCTATTCAAAATCCCAGCAGGGTGCTTCATAGAATGGACAAGCTGACTTTAAAATTCATATGAAAATGCAAAGGATGTAGAATAACCAAAATAATTCTGAAAAAGAAGGACAAAATCAGAAGGCCACTATTACCAAATTTCAAGAATTACAGAGTAATCAAAACAGCACAGCATTTGCACAAAGACAGGAAAACAGACCACAGATCAGAACAGAGTCCAGAAGTAAAAAAACATATATGAACAGCTGATTTCTGACAAAGGTGCAAAGGTGATGCAGCGGAGAAGGTTAGTCTCTTCATCAACTGGACATCCGTATGCAAAAAATAAATAAACCTCATTCCGTATATCACATCACATAGAAAAATTAACTCGAAATGGCAATTAGACCTAAATGTAAAACCTAAAACTATAAAACTTCTAGAAGAAAACACAGGAGAAAATCTTACAACCTTTGATGAGGGAAAGATTTCTTAGGTATGACATCAAAAGCTCAATCTATAAAAGAACAAATGGATACACTGGAATTCATCAAAATTAACCGCTGCTCTTCAAAAGACACTGTTAAAAAAAGAAAAGATAAGCCACAGACTAGGAGGAAATATTTGCCAAGCATATATCTAATAAAGGACTTGTGTCCAGAACATACGCAGAGTAACGTCCCAGAAGACGGCAGAGTAGGAAGCTCCGGTGCAGGAACAGTGCCCATCACACAGCAAATACGCAAGAGATATTTTACCAAGGATTTTTTTTTAAATCCTATATACTACTAACAAGCAATGATAAAATTATCTGCGTACCTCCATCATTAACATAATTGCCAAGAATTTATAAATCATCATTCCAGTATACCACACTAGAACAGGTAATTGTATTTCTCAAATTAGAGATGAGAACACTGAGACTCTAAGTTAGTTGCTCAAGGCCACACAAGCTGGATAGCGTAGGGCAAAGATTAAGCCTGGCAAATCTAGCAAGGATAAAAAAAAAAAAAGAGACTACTTGGCTTCAAGGCCACTGGGTAATGCTGCCTCCCTCAGTGATATCTATTCCAAAGTAAACTTTCTCAAAGTGTAGCTTTCTTAACACTTAGTCATGCCTACTGAAAATTTATCAAAATAGGGAAATAAAGGAAGAGGAGAAAACACCATTTTATGTTATTCATGGCTCTCTTCCTTATACTCTACATTATAACAGTCTTCTTTTGAAATTTGTCATAGAAAAAATAAACAACTGTATTTAGGTACCTAGGAGATACAGCAATATCATAATAACTCACATCAATACAAGGTATAACAAATTACTTCAGAGTTCAATTAAAAAGTCAGCTGAAAAACAAAAGGGGGCAAGAGAAACACTGAAATAATTATTTTTTATTTAATTGTCACATATGAAAAGTTGCCCAGATTCTGTTAAGACTCAATGGAGAAAAGAGGAAAGCGCATAAACATAAGGTAGGTCACTACTTCCCATCAAGAAGTATGTATGAGAAGCCAATTCCACATCAACCTGAAGACATTAACCTCTATCCTGTGTTTCTCAACTCTGGATGCACATTTGAGTCATCTGAGAGCTTAAAAAGAAGTCCTGATGTCTGGGCCTCACCTAAGACCAATTAACTTAGAATTTCTGGGGATAAGACTCTGGCATAAGTATCTTTTAAAACTCCCCTGGTGATCCCAATGAACAGCCAAGGTTGAGAACCACTACTGTAAGCATATTTATACAAACATATATATATAAATTGCCATATAATTGGCTAATGTCCCAAGAAAATTAACGAGTTGGAACTTGGTTAAAATTTTTCGTGCCAGAGATAATTATTTATTTAAACTAAAATACATTTTATGTCTCACTTAAAACCACTGGTAGACATGCATGAATGAAAATGACTTTTGTGGAAGCAAAAGGCATCCAGACTTAGCCAATTAATATTAACATTAATTATTAATTAATATTAGATATTATAACATAATATAACATAAATATTATCCTTCATTAAATAATATGCTAATTATTCTAATACTATTTTAAAATATGAGCTGCAGGCTAACTGGGGTGGTCTATAACCAAAGTACCCAGAGCAGTAGGCATAGGTTGGCCAAAGGGATCTCCAAATCTCCTTAGAACCCAAGGGAATCCTGGGACTGTCTAGAAATAAGAATGCGGACCACAGTGGGTCTACGAGACACACTCTGGTCCACTTTCACCACAACAAACCTGGTCCACTAGAAGGGGAAATTGATGACGTAGAAGAAAGGGAGGGGAGGAAAAGGAAAGCTGATAGAATAGGTGACAGGGGATGAGATCTAGTACAGAAATAGAGGGGATGACCTCTACAGGCAGTTCATCCATAATTCAGAACGGAAGGCAGAGATCGGATTTAAGTTGGGACTTTGCCAGGCTAGTACTAACCAAGAGGGGCAAGAGAGCTGAGGGTACATATAAGGCACATGGAATTTAAGCTGGATAAGGAACCATGTAAGGACTAAGGGAAGTGAGAAATAGTAAAAAGGTGGTAGAATCAATGGATTTGTAGTGTGGAAGGACTACTGATGTCAAACTACTAGAGGGAATGAACTAGAAAGTTAGGCGGTGTCAGAGAGTTGAATGCTTGAGATTAAAATTATGGAGGGTCTTTCAGTTATTGGTAATGATAAATCAAGAATGTGATCACAGGAGTGAGTAGCTCAAGGAGAGTGAAAAACAATCATCTATCTAGAAGCTAAAATCAACAAAAATTAAGACAGAAGCAGTGTTAGAATGAAAGTGAGCCATGAGCAATGTGACGATTACCCAGAAGTTAGCAAATGACCACCATGAGGGGCGTGGGGAGTTAGTCTACTAACATGAAATTCAAAGCTGGAGGGTCATCTCAAGGAAGAATACTACCTGGAACTGGCAATGAGGAGCAAAGAGGACATATAATAGAAGAACCTTAAAATACAGAAGAATAAAATATTCATTACCCCTAAATGAGCTCAGTCCAGTACAACAGCAATGACAACACAATCATTGCACTACAGCAGAGTAATGACCACAGCTGAGAAGGGCGGGGCCTGCTGGAGACCCAATGGAGGGATCAGAGAAGTTTCACAGAGGACTGGAAGATGTGATATGTGAGCTGAGTGTTGAAAAATGAATCAGGGCAAAACGACCTTCAAGGCAGAGAGACAATATAACACACGCAAAGGCAGACAGATGTGAAAAAACCACGAAATATTCTAAGAAATGCAAACAGTTCAACATGATTAAAGGCATAAAGAGAATGAGTATGAAATGGGTCTGAATTAATGTGTATGAAAGAGAGTCAGGACATATGACTAGACAGGTAAACCAAGACCACAACTTTTTGCTCTGCACAAAAGATATTACGAACAAATTAAACTGTTACCCAGAAATCCTTCATAAAAGCCTCTAATAGGGAACAAAATTGACGGATTTGTTTCATATTACTTTCCTTCTTTGAAGGAGATGCTAGAAAACAATTAAATAATCCAATAGCCAGTTGCTTTACGAAGATTAACCAGCTTTTAGAGACTCAATTGCTTCCATGCTGTATACAAAAATTTCTGATCATTATCATAATCTCCAACATACAAGATTAAAAATCTACCAAGGAATTTTGTGCACAACTGATATTTTTAAAAACAGATGAATAGAGCTCAAACATACATGCATTAGTTATAGATTTCTCTGTAACATGTATATATGTAAATATATACGTATGAGATTATACAGGCATACTTCAGAGATATTGCGGGTTCGGTTCCAGATCATTGCAATAAAGCGAATATCACAATAAAGCAAGTCACAATTTTTTTGGTTTCCCAATGCATATAAAAGTTATGTCTACACTATACTGTAGTCTATTTGGTGTGCAATAGCATTATGTCTCAAAAAAACAATGTACATACCTTAATTAAAAAATACTTTACTGCTAAAAAATGCTAATCATAATCTGAGCCTTCAGCAGGTTGTAATCTTTTTGCTGGTGGAGGGTCTTGTAAAAAATGCAATATCTGCGAAGCACATTAAAGTGAAGAGCAATAAAATGAGGTGTGCCTGTATATACATATAAACTGCTTTTGCACGTAAAAGAACAATATTATAAGTGAATGCATAAATAATAACAATACTGGTATATACAACTTTTATAAATGATTAACCTTAGAATTACACACACACCACAATGGAAAAGCTGTGTCACTAGGTAACCATCGCTGTATATGCTCTGTCTCCATTTTTACTTTAGTAGTTATGACTTAATGGAACGAGCACTGTCCTTGGGAGCCAAAGAACACACACTTGAGTGCTGGCATTGGCACTTATGAACGATTAAGCAAGTCACTTAACTTTTCTGTGCCTGAGTTTCTTAATTTACAAAATGGAAATCAGAAATCTGTATCTCATGTGTTTTGTTAAGATTTTTGTGAAGCACTGTATCTAAAAGAGCTTTATAAACCAAAATGAGCTATAAAACTGTTTCTTTACAGACTTAAAAATATTTTTAATATAGAACTAAGAGCTCTCGGGCCATCCACTGCCCCCGCCCCCAGAAATGAAGCACAATTACACCCTGAGCTGACACGCCCGACAGACTTGGGTAAGCATGTCTCACCGCCTCTCTGCATGACCTTACCTTCGCATGAGCAGGCCCTCTTTCTCTCAGAAGTCTATACTGGGGCTGGACTCTATTGAAACGGGCTAACTCATTTACCAGACACACTGCAGTTTTCTCTTTGGGATTTGCCATTTTATCTTGGAGAGAAGCTGTAAATAAAAAGGCTGTAAAGTTTTTGTGAAGAATGACTTTACAAAATGGAAGAAAAGCTAGTTTTGACTTTTTTAGATTGAAGTCAGATTATACTGTAAATCTGGATTAAATTATTTTCATTAATTTTATATAAAAAATTCAAACCATCTAAATGTTAAATGTCTTTCATTACATGCAACACAAATAATTATCACACTTTAAACAGTAAATTAAGGTAACTTTTTTCATAAGTACCTAAGTTGCTCTCTATACATATATATGACAACAGCATGCTTAAAGATTTTAAAGATTACAATAATTTTTAATTTATCTTGTAACTTTCCTTTCCTCTCAGAAAATTTTAGCATAAACAGAGAATTCTGATTCTTATTACTGTAAAACTAAATTTTGTATACCTTTTTTATCATTTGATCTTACTTTTTTAACTTCTCATTTTGAGACAGCATATTAGTTGAAAAAGTTCCAGACTTGGAAATCAAAGTCCTAAGTTTAAATACTAGCGCTTCCAACTATTTTTTAGAAACTTCCTTTTCTTACGAAATTTTAAGAGAAGTACAAAGAATAATTTAACAAATGCCCATATTCTTACCACACAGAACTGCAGTTAACATTTTCCATGTTTGCTTTAAGTCTTATTTAAAAAAAAACAACAGTATGACATTCCAGTTAAGTTCCCTTTATTTTTTCCAGAAACCACCACTATATGAATTTAGAATATATCCCTCTGGGATATTTTAAAATACATTTATACCTATGCACGTATATCCACGAAGAAATACATAGTCTTGATATATGTGGTTTTGTAGTCACATAAGCAGTAATATAATAAACACATGATTTTCAAAACTGTCTTTCTTCACTCATTATGTTTTTGAGATTGTAACTTAGATAGATCCAGTGCATTACTTTTAACTGCTGTATAATTTTCATCACAATATCGTATCAGTTTTTCAATCCACTCCTCTACTGATAGACACTTAGGTTGTTTCCCATTCTTCACCTTACAAGTAAAAACACGCTGCCAAATGGCACTCAGGATGATTGTACCATATCTCCGTCCCCTGGCAGCATGACAAGCACCATTTCCCCTCAACAGTGAAAAATGCAGTAAGGTCAGGTAGTTTCATTTCTGAAAATCTGATGTTTGACAACTTGTATCCCACTATTGTTTTTTGTTTTCCCCACTATAATTTTAATTTGCATTCCCAGATTACTGGTGAGTCTAATCATCTTCTTATATGTTATTGATCACTTGGGTTTCCTCTTCTGCGAACTGCTTCTGTCCTTTTTTCTATTAATTATTTTATGTATTATATTTATCAAATTTTTTTTTATAATCTGTGCTTTTTATGCCTTGTTTAAGGAATTCTTCCCTAACCTACAAGGTCTTAATTATTTTTAGTTAAATTTACTAAACCTTCTATTCTTTATCTGTAAAATAAGGGTAAAAAATCTATCCTACTTCACTCACAGGTTGGTATGAAATTAAGGTTTTTAAATGTATGGTATTCTAAATTCTACTGTAATTATTATTACAGTCTCAGAATATTTTCCTAATACTATATTAAACTATTTTATCCTATTTTTTCTTCATCTCATTTATAGATATTCAACTGCTTTTTAGTTTTTCTTTCATGTCCCATTAATCAGTGCCAAAAAACACTTAAAAACCTAAGCTTAAAACATGCAAGTGGCATTACTTCCTGCTCAGTTAAACTGTAGTCACAATGTATGGAGAAGGCATTAAATGCACGGAAAGAGTTTAGGAACTTCATCTACAAACTTTCTATGGCAAGGTTTAATGCAGAAGATACTATTCTTTTAACCTTTTAATACTTTTTACAGGACCAACAGTTTGGTACAATGACTTGATCACAATCGTTATGATTAAGAAGTTATTTCATAAGAAAACTACATAAATACCTAGTAAGGCATAAATAAAACAAAAGAGAATCTAAGCAACCAACTGTAGGACCAATACAGCTGACATCCTTGCATACCATGGCATTAAATACTCAAGTACTATAGATAACACAGCTAGCTGAATATCAAAAAGCAAAATAGGAATGACAATTTGTTAAAAGAGAGAAAATACTAAAGTCTGGTAAAAACCAGTCAATTTTGCATAACACTGAAATAGCATTTATACTGCTACCGCACAATTCTCATAACTCAGCAATGCTGCATATTCATCTGTTATGATGCAAAAAATATTAGGAGCATAGCAAGCATAATGTGACAATTTTATAGTACGAAACATTTTAATAGCATAGGTTTTAAATATATTAAAATGTGATTAAAATAGTAAGTTTATAGCTCTGTAAACTTTAGTACGAAAATCTGATCTAAATCCTTTAAAGAAAGTGCTAATAACATGGTGATAAACTTATATTTCATTAATTTTGACTTTCTGCTTCATAAAAATAACATGAAACCAATAACTGATTCATGGAATCCATTAATGGAATCCAATAATGGATTTAACGTGTGACTGAAGTTTGGTGCGAAAGGTGTGCAAAATACATGCAAGATCTCACTTTGATAAAACTTTACAACTAAAATCCAAACGTTCAAAGTTGGTAAATTTAAAAATAATTAGTCCTAGTTGAAATTTTTTATTTTATGAAATGATTAAAATTTTATTTTAAATAGCTGTTCCTCTATTTAATCAGAAATTTTATTGGTATTAATGACTTGACAGAGCTCACCGTTAGAGCAATAATTTAAAACTTTAAACCAAATTTTGGTAAAACATCTACAAAATTATAAAACAAACTGGTCTATTAAAACTGAGATCTATAAACTCAATTTATATATAACTTTTTATAAAAGTCAACAGCGCAAAAAGTGAGAATTACATATACACTGTTGCATAGGTATACATTTTCAAGAGACCTAAGAATGTCCTCAACGAAGATATTTTGAAATAGGCTTCAAGTCAATTTGGTGGCTAGAATAGTAGACATTTACTTAGAAGTAAACAAAATTAATGATAACAGATTTCACAATCTAAGCCTTTGTTTTTGAGAGAGCAAATGCCATATGATGGTTAAGAGCCTGTTTTGGATCTCTCTGCCACTAATTCATATCTATGTGACCTTGAGAAAGCACTTAAATCTCACTTTCCTAGGCAGTAAAATAGAAATAATAGTTGTTTTTATATTACTGGATGATGGCATTGGTTGAATGAGATGATACAAGACACTGTTAACAATGATAAGAATGCATTATTATTCTGATTACAAACAATTTGTTAAAACACATTATCATCAAATATGAAAACAGTAAGTTTTATAAACTTTTTTTCCATAGCTTTCTAAGCTAAAATATTCTGAGTTAAAATGTTCCATTAGATTAAGTTTATTTTATTCATACAAATATACTACTTCAATATTCTGTAAAAAGCACATATTTGTTATTATTTTTTCCACCAACTTATTATAACATCATAAGTCTGTTTCAACTGAAAAATCCCCAAGTATGATATAAATTATATTTAAGATTTCTCATATTTGTGTTAGGAAATATTCTACCTTTGTCGTACGAAACTTGTTTACATGTAACTCTCCATAACTTTGATAAGTAACACTGGTAAAACAGCTATGGCATCTGCACACTCAATGAAACATAGATAAACTCTATTTTTTGAAATATACTCTATTTTCATATCTTTATAAAGGGACTTAAATCTTCAAACTATACCAAAATAAGGTAGCTCACAGTTTTTAATCAACAGGCAAATCCCTGTCCCAAAGGAGCTCACAGTCTGGAAGAAGAAAGAGATACAAACAAGAAACAAACACAATAAACTACAAGAGGAGAAGTGCTATGATACGGCTGTTACAGGGACTCCTTAGGTCAAGGGGGCGTTGAAAGGTGCGTTTCAAGATGTGGTGATTAGATTAGTTAAGGAAAGTAGGAATTCACCGAGTTAGCAAGGGAGGGAGAGAGAAAGACAGTCTAAGCTTTTCCAGAGCGCACATGCAGGAGAAAGCACAGAAAACACATCACATTCTGGCAGATGCAAGTAGATCATCAGCAGAACACAGAATGCACAGGAGAGAACAGCAGAAAAAACTGTGTGACCAGAATCCACCAAAACACCAAACGTTCCCTAAGCCAGAATTTAGAGCAGCAACATTTTTAAGGTAGTTAAATTACAGCCAGAGCTGTTGCTAGCAAAGCCACAGTCCACCTCACCTGCCAAGGCAAGTCTCTCCACAGAAGAATCCGTTTCCATCTCTGGTCCCAGAAATGACTTGGACACAGTTTCTATGTCTCTTTGCTGGCTCCCCTTTCCCTATTACCTGCTACTGGAAGGGACTCATCCTAATTCCCAAGTAAAATAAAAAGAAAGAAAATAGAGTCAAAAGAGCAAAGGAATTTGACATAACTTCCACAGGCTCTTGCCTTCTAGGAGAAATGTGACTGTCCATGGTTGTAAGTAAAAGAAACCCTATAACTTCAGATTAGACCATAACCTAAGGCTGTCCAAGCAAAATCACTACCCAAGGATCAAACCGCTGTCTTATAATTGCCTATTAATTAAGAAAAAATTAAAGTTCCTATCTCACAAACACAAAAATAAATTCCTGAAGTATTAAAATGCAAAATATAAAAATACAACAAAAGCACAAGAAAACTTGATATTTGTCATATATTTGTCATAATCCTGTAACATAGAAGGTTTTTCTAGATAAGAAGAGAAACCTAAAAGCCATAATGGGATAAACTGACAGATTTAACAAGACAAAAATGTAAAACTTCTGTAGAGCAAAACACACCATAAATGACACTAAAAAACAGTCTACAAACTGGGAAAGAAATACTCACAACATGCGAAGAAAAACTGTTAACATCCATAAAATACAAAGGTGATATAAATCAATTTTTAAAAAAAAAAATCTGATAGCAAAAGGGCAAACGTATGCACAATCAATTCACATAATATAATTTATTGAGTAAACACATCTGTTCAAAAAACTGTTTAAAGAAATAAAAATTCAAATTCCAGTGAGAGAGAATTTACCCCACTAAACTGATAAAGATGAAAAAATGATCATGTAAGTATTGGCAAGGATGTGGGGAAATGAGTGCAAACTCTATTGGTGCAAACAAATTAGTACAAACTTTTTGGTGGGGAATCTGGCAATACTGATTAAAGTTTCAATTGTATCTATCTTTAAAACAACAATTACACATCTAGTATTCATACTGCAGGAAGACTTGCATAGCGCATACACAATGACAATCCACATAGCAAGAACTATAAACAAGCTAAATATTTATCCATCAGTAATTGACTGGTGAAACAAACTACAATGGACTACGCACCTTTGAAAAAGAGTATGAGGTACAGTGCTTATGTACCAACATGGGAAAAACATTACAAAATGTTGAATGAAAAAGGTTCTAACAGCTTATGGTCTGATCTTATTTTCATTTTCTTTAAATCAAACGTGCATGGATTAAAGGGGAAGAGAGACTGGTGGCGGGGGGTCCTCACTTCCTACTTTTAAGTACTACATTGTTTTAGTTTTTCACAATTAATATGTATATCTTTTATTAAAAAATTATTTTACAAAGCCATGAAAAGTAGGGAATGCCTTCCAGTGTAAAAGTCTTCGACTCGAATTGCTATTGTCCTATCTAGTCTTCACAGTGCCACCAGGGTTCTACAAAACAGAAAGATGTTCAAGGACCTGGTTCAAAGCAGCCCATGTGTCATGCCTACAATCTCTGACTTTTCCATATAAAGCCACTTTGGGACTCACACACTGCTAAAACGGAGTGTGGCCTTAGCCAACGGGTTTGTTGTCTGTTGTTGGTATGGCTGGTCTTCTTAACTTTAGCCATTCTAACAGGTGCGTAACGGTATCTCATTGTTGTTTTTTGGGGTTTTTGTTTTCTTTTTCTGGTGTTTTTTTTTTTTTTGCTGAGGAAGATTCACCCTAACATCTGCGCCAATCCTCCATTTCGTATGTGGGTCACTGCTACAGCACGGCCGTCAACGACCAGTGTAGGTCCGCACCCGGAAATCGACCCCAGGCCGCCAAAGCAGAGCACGCTGAACTTAACCACTAGGCCATGGGGCCGGCCCTCATTGTAGTTTTAGTTGCATTTCCCTAATGACTAATGATGTTGAGCATCCTTTTGTTTATACGCTATTTTTATATACACTGTAGTGAAGTGTCTATCTGAATATTTTACCCATTTTTAATTGGGTTATTTTTCTTGTTGTTTTATTTGAAGAGTTCTTTATATATTCTAAATACAAGTCATTAATCAGGTATATGCTTGGCAAAGATTTTCTCCCAGTGTATGTTGTCTCTTTTCATCCTCTTACCAGTGTCTTTTGAACACCAGACTTTAATTTTAATAATGTCTAATTTATCAATTTGTTGTTCTATAGACTGTGTTGTCTCTAAGAAATCATCACCTAGTTGCGGTCTCAAAGATTTTTTCCTATGTTTTCTTCTATAAACTTTATAGTTTTAGGTTGCACATTTAGGTCTCTGAACCACTTTGAATTAATTTTTGTATATGGTACAAGGTATGAATTCAATTTGTTTTTTGTTTTTCAATATCCAATGTTCAAACCCTATTTGTGGAAAAGGCTATATTTTTTCCACTGTATTGCTTTTACGGCTTTGTTAAAAATCAGTTATCTACATATAGTAGGTTCATTTCTGGACTACCTATTCTGTTTCATTGATCTATTTTTATGCCAATGCTGTTTTTACTGTAGCTTTATAATTCTTGAAATTAGGTAGCGCTGGGCCCCCCACATTGTTCTTCACAGCTGTTTGGCTATTCTAGGTTCTTGCATTTCCATATGAATTTTATTTTAGGCAAAAATGCCTGGAAGGATGAGAGTAGAATTCCCTAGAATTCTACAGATTAATTTGGTGAAAACCAACATTTTAACAAAGTTGAGTCTTCCAACCCACGTACAGGATATATAGTCAATTCTCATTACTGAAACAATGATATCTCAATGACAGTTATGTTCTATCACAAATCCACAAATGGTGAATTAGCAATTACTGAATCACTGCTTCTAAGGAAAATACAGGGTTAGGTTCCTGCAAACCTCTGGTCATAACATTTTTGTCAGCCGATCAATACACGACCTTGTTTTATGTGGGTTTCTGGTTAAAGACCCACTACTTAACATATGTTGCTGATTCATTAAAATTGAACTCGCCGCCAACAGTAACTCCTGCCTGAAGGAAGCTTATCTAAAGACATGCATCTTCTCCGTAAGGCATGTTGCAGCATTCTTGTGCTTAGGAACACTACACAGCACTTCAGCACTATGCTTAGGGGCCATTTTAAACAGCTAAACCACCCACAAAAACGCAAAAAATGTGGCACTAAAGAGACCAAGATAAGGACACTTGCCCACAGTAGGAAAATTGAAACAAGAAAGCAGAGTGTCACTTTGTTCAACCTCAGTTCAAACTGTGCAAGTTGGGCGACTCAAATTTTTCACCACTCTGCATGTGTTAGCAAATGAACACAAAGGCGCTGCAAGTAATGATTTTGGGGTTACAAATAAATTTTAGCAAATAGGCCAACTCACAGATAAGAATCCATGAATAATGAAGATCAACTGTACCTCTCAATTTATGTAAGCATCCTTTAATTTCTCAGCATTATTTTGTAGTTGTTTTAACATATTTTGTTAGATTTATCCATAAGTATTTCATGTTTTTGATACTGTTGTAAAAGGCATCTTTTATTTCAGTTTCTGATTGTTCCTTGCTAGTGTACAGAAACACAATTAATTCTTGTAAACAGTTATGCATCATGTAACAGGGATACCTTCTGAGAAATGCATTGTTGGGTGATTTTGTCATTTTGCAAACGTTATAGCGTGTACTTACACAAACTTCGATGGTACGGCCTACTACACACCTAGGCCATATGGTACTAATCTTATGGGACCACTGTCGTATATGCGGTCCATCGTTAACCAAAATGTCGTTATGCAGTGCATGACTGTATATCTTTGGTCATTTCTGTCCACTTGTTATATCAATTATTGAGAGGAGTTACTGAAATCTCTAACTATAATTGTGAATTTCTCCTTGCATTTCTATTAGTTTTTGCTTTGTGTGTTTTGAAGCTCTGTTATTAGGTGCATAAACATTTAGCATTGTCATGTCCTCTTAAATAACTGATCTTTTTCTTGCTATGAAATGACCTATATCCCAAGTAATATTCCTTGCTCTGAAATCTACTTTGTCTGATATTAACAAAATCACTCCAAGTTTCTTTTTTTTTTTTAATTTTTTTTTTTTAATTTTGTTTATTTATTTTTCCCCCAAAGCCCCAGTAGACACTTGTATGTCATAGCTGCACATCCTCCTAGTTGTTGTATGTGGGACGCGGCCTCAGCATGGCCAAAGAAGCAGTGCATAGGTGCGCACCCGGGATCTGAACCCGGGCCGCCAGTAGAGGAGCGCACGCACCTAACCGCTAAGCCGCGGGGCTGGCCCCCAAGTTTCCTTCAACTATGTTAGCATGTTATAGCTTTCCATTCTTTAACCTTTAACCTATTTGTGTTTACAGTTATTTCTTATAGGCAAGTATACAGTTGGATTTTGCTTTTTTATGCAATCTCAGCCTTTAAATCGGGGTTTTAGACTACTTACACATAACATGATTATTCATATCATTAGGTTTGACTCTATCATCTTATTGTTTTATATTTGTCCTATCTGGTCTTTGTTCCCTTTTTCATCTGTTCATGGCTTCCGCTGGATTAATTATTTTGTATGATTCAATTCTATCCACATCATGCATCAACAGATACGTTCTGAGAAATGTGTCATTAGGCGATTTTGACATTGCATGAACATCAGAGAGTATACTTACACAAACCTAAATTATGTGGTACTAATCTTATGGGACCACCATCACATACGCAGTCCGTCATTGACCAAAACCTCGCTATGCAGTGCATGACTACCTTTTTTGGCTTATTAGTTATAACTCTTTTTGGTTATTTTAGTGGCTGCTTTAGAGTTTATATTATATCTTTAACTTATCACAGTCTACCTTTAGGTAGATAGCACCTAATGTAGAGCCTAAGAATCTTAATATACTTCCATTTCTCCCTCAGCCTTTAAGCTACTGTTATCATGCACTTTACTTCTGTGTATGTTACAAACCACAAAATATCTTGTTAACATTTCTGCTTTAAACAGTTACCTTTCAGAGAGATTAAACTAATAAAAAAACTTATATATTTACCCAAGTAGCTACCACTTCTAGTGTTCTTTTTTCTTTTTTTATCTAGTATCATTTTCCTGCTATCTGAA